AGGAAGGGCTGATTTTAGTCAGTCAATAAGAGTCTGGCACTCTCTTACGTACGTGAGAATACATTTGTAGGTATCGTAGGAGAAGACATTTGACAACTTCCCGCATATTCTCTATAAAAAAAAACATGAAATCACAAATTTATTAGCCTCTACAACAACCCACTTTTTTTACTTTTAATTTTAATTGCGGGCGTTATCATTTTGGCAATGATAGGCTTACCTAGATGAATAACCAAAAATATTGTCAATGAAAAAAAAAATAAAGCTAAAGGGCAAAGGCGTTTTTAATATTTTTTGCGTATTAGCAACAACACATTAGGTAGTCATTAACACAATTTTGGGTCAAGAATATAATGGCAATAGATAAATTATTACACATAATATGCAAAAGCAAATAAATATACAAAGAGGTGTCGATAGGCACAGGTTTTATGTAGCGAGACAGGACACGCAAGACCGCACAGCGTTCGGCAATAAATCAGCGATTGATTGCAACCACAAAATAATTAACGATTAAAGAAACAATATTGGAAAACGCTCACACTTATACATCGCACATTTCAACTCACGAACGTAGGATACCGAACTCATTAGATAGTTTGGTAAGCCATTTCAACTGTTTCAATAATGGTTGCCACTGAATCACCTTCTCCAGTTGGCTTTTGGATTGGAGGACGGAGAAATTATCCAATGACACCCGCCCTAGATGGTATACAGTGAGAATCTTTTACTGACTAAGTCGTTCCTCTGTTGCTTCGAGCCGGGACCATCATTGCGCTCGATGTGATGTGAAAAAAGTTTTTTTTAATGATGAAGATTTATTTGCATTTAGCGTATGAATTAAGTACCACACAAGCGACATAGCCTTGTGTGTCGCCTTACGTGTGAGGTTACCGGAGGTCCAATCCTTCCCCAACCCCAATCCCAAATTCTCCAAATCTCTAATCCCCAAAAGGTCGGCAACGCACTCGTAACTCCTCCGTTGTCAATGGGCGGCGCTGATTACTTTCCATCTAAGAGTTATTTAAAAAATATAACCAAGAGTTATTTTTTGTTAAATGTTTGCATTTAAAGCAAAAATCATGATGCACTTGGTTGCTAAATTCAGCAGATAACTATATCAGATATAATCTCAGTATTATCTCCTGAGCTATGCAGCTCTTAAATAAATAACTCTTATACTTTTAAAACTGATAAACCAATATTTGACACCACGGTGAAAGAAATTCTTTTGAAACATTTTTGATAACACTTATCGAATTTCGTTTATCTTAAAATTAAGTAGGCTTTGGATTTCTATTTACCCAAGTCATTTGACGCCCGATTCAATGGTTCACGATAGTTGTTAACTAATGGCAAACTTGCAATATGCTTCTTTTCCATCTTTTCCTTAAATATCAGTTCTGCATCATGTTCTTTCTTTTTCATAACAAATGACCTACAAACCTTTAAAAACCGAGCGATACTCCTTCTAAAAAGACGCAGCACGCCTGCGACTTCTCTAGCTCTAGTATCGTAGGTAATACATTTTCTGATCACTTACAATCAGGGTGACCAGTCGGCTAGTTTTCCTGATATTCTATGAAAAATACTAACATTTTATTTCTGAACGTATTTTCTTTCTCCCTTGCACATGGCAATTTTAGATGTAATATATTTTTGCCTCGCGCACTTTTTCAATAAAAAGCAATGTCTAACTTCTAGCACTGAATCTCCAATATCAAAATTGGATGTAGTTCAAAAAAGAGGATTGCATTTTTTAAGTTGTCACTGTTGGTGTAATAATAGTAGTAGACTTCGAAGAATAGTGAAAGGTGACTACATCGTTTCAAATGACAATTGGTAGTAAAAATAAACAGGTAGGTACCTCAGCTGAAATGTGCCGAGAAAAAATAGACAATTATTTTAGGAAGCTCATATTAAATCCCAGAGAAATGAGAGCTATAACCAAAACAAAGTCAAATTGTGAAGCGCACCATAAAATCTGTTATAGGGTATAAAACAATAGATATATCCATTAGACAATAGGTTTTAAAAACAACTGCACAACAGTTGACCGCGGCATCGGCAGCGTGGTGAAAGAAAAAGTAGCCATTGTCATAAATACCATAAAACCGACAACAGAAAGACAAACAAATAAACACTTTTGTGTTAACAATATCATAAACAATGAGAATAGTTCGAACACTAAAAGTGAGGCCGTGGTATCACTCCGGTCAAGCCGACCCATTCGTACCGAAGCTTGGCACTCCCACACTGAAATCCTTAGGCCGGCAGCGCACTCGTAACTTCTTTGGTTTTGCGGGTGTCCATGGGCGGCGCCGATTGCTTACCATCAGGTAATCCGTCAGCTCGTTTGCCGAATTATACCATTAAAAAAATCTGAGGAAGGGATAAACCAGAAGTTGTGGTGGCCTGGAGGTTAAGGTTCCTCGTGCAAGAGGTTCGAAATCTGCCAATTACCAATATCTGTAATTTGGTCTTTTTCTTTGGTATGCACTTGCTAAATATATATAGACACCGCTCATAAACTCACTAACCCTCCCTAAGAAAGCGTGGTAGATGATGCAAAAAAATCTCGATGTGAGAAGAGGTCTTTGCTCTGCTTGACAGGCTGATGATGTAAGGAAAGCTTAAAATGGTGACACTAAAGAAATTGTCATGTCAAGTAGTATAAAACCGACAATAGAAAGACTAACAAATACCTTTTTTGTTAACAATATCATAGTTAGATCTAGCATAATAAGTATAGAAATGATACATATGATAGTTTTACAAATAATAATCCTGAGTAAGGCATAAACGATGACATAAAAGAATTGCATATTTAAATAGGTATAGGTATTTAACAAGTTGATTGTATTAAGTTTCAAAGCAAAAGCGACAAACTAGCAACGTCAGTACTTAGTGATTATACAATATTTTTTGTTCATACAATACTTTCATAACCATTGATATTTTATACGTGAGCGGTATGCGGAAATAAAGGGCTTTCATTTCATTGGCGAAGGACGACCTCCATTTTCATATTTCTTTGTGTTTTATGCTTGCATGCCCTTTAGCTGTTTCGTATCGTCTATCTAGGTAAATTTCACAGGCTATTTCTGATTAATGTTTTAGACGCTCATACATGAGTCTAAGAAAGTTAATGTCAATCTGGTTTGTTTTAGTTGATTAGCTTTGTCGACAAACTTGTCCGTACCAATGTTAATATATGTATAATAAGATATTATTGTAAGTGATAGATCGGTAAACGAGCTGGTGGCAATAGGCGCCGCTCGTGGACATCACCGACACCAAATTAGTTGCAAGAGCGTTGAAGACTGTTTGGCAATAAGGAGTTCTGAGATTTAGGGAAACGATTGGGCCTCTGATAAACTCACTCACATGGCGCTAAACAGCACTGCGATTGTTTCGTTTCGGAAACCATTGTATTAGACTGGTCCAACCAGCAACGTTATTAAAAAATATGTTTATAATAACGTCGAATATAAAAATCGTCAAAGTATAAAAGGCCATACACCAAACAAAATAAGTAAAAAAGTAGTAGAAAGCACATAATCCTGAAAAGGAAGTCATTCACATAATATCCTTTCAAAAGAAACCTACACGACTAAAACTTTCTACAGACAAAAATTATGACAGTGATGGTAGTTTCTTAACTTAGAAGCTAAAGCTCTTTTAAATGTACGATTAAGAAAATACAGGGTGTCATTTTGAAGAAGGGACATATTCAGGATCCGATTCTGGAGCCCAAATAAAACAACATTTTCAATCAGAAATTTAAATTACAAAAAAAAATTACTTCTCCTTGTAAAATTATCATTCTACTGTTGCGATTTGATTTCGATAATGATCGGGTCCTTAAATATGTCCCTTGTTCTAAATAATACCCTGTAGTTTCAGAAAGAAACTGAGGAAACTTTTACGAATCTATATAAAGATGTGCAATATTTTCTCAATGAAACACTTTCTCCGTACATCAACGGTGTATCCCATTTTGATGTTCACAAAAAGAAAGTGACACGCACAAAACGAATCCTACACAAACATTACAATAAAATGCATACGTATATACGTACATTTTCTCTTATGATATGTACTTATCTACTTACTGTTAATGAAAGTACGCTACCTACTTATTTACCAAACACTGCATGTCGGCACATGTATTCAACTGATTAGCCAATTTCACTCGTTTCGACAAACTGTTACTCATTAACTTTTTTCGGCTTAGAAAGTGAATATTTATACGATTTATTGGCTACCGGTCTTTTGCGCGTTGGTGAAAAAAAGTTTATATTTATTTTTCTGTAAAATTTTGGTAACATCGTATTTAAAAAACCGAAATGCTCATTTTATATTCTGTTTTTTACTACAAGACAAAAGATGGGCGCCTTGTTAAAAATGATAATATTTTCCTTTACATGAGTTGCTCATAGTGTGTATGTGTTTTACACATAGATTATTTGTTTGTATGGAAGCTCCGAGTAGTAAGAAGCCGTAAACTCGTAATAGCTAGTGCTATAGCCGTATACATGTATGTATGTGTGAGTTCGACTGTATGGTGCGCACTTCCGAATAATAACGTGTTTGTGTGAAAACTGCGTAGAATAGGATGAAACATGTTTGTATTACATCAATTGATGTATTGCTCCGTAAGTTTTCCATTCATCTACCTACACAAATAGAATATAAACAGCGTTTTAAATGTTAAAGTTATCATCATGTGCATGACATGGTTATACAAGATGGAGGGCCTCCGTCAAATTAGCCTAGTTTTCGGTATCTCTCTCCCATCTCCTCTACTGTTAATCTTATCACATAGCACATGCCATAGCTCAAAACGCGATGTTGTAATGCGCAAAAATACAATTTACATCACAAGACACAACATGAGATAGCAACGCTGCTAGCGCTGCAAGTACCTCCGACAGAAGGTGCATACTTTCAAATCGTAATGATAAAACATGTTTGGCAGAGCGGTGGTGGCTGCAGCACTACGTCACCTCCAGCGGCTGCGCGGCGGCCGCGGAACGTGATCGGAACGGGAGGAGCGAGCTGCGCGTGGCGCGGGAGTTGCGGGAAGCGACCTTGACGCCGAACGAGGAATGAATCACGGCAGCGAAAGTGGGAGAAATGTGCCGCCGCGCCCCGCGCCGCTCACTTTTACTTTCCAGTGTGGCGCAACCGAGAGCGGCGCCGCAGCGCGCGCGCCACTCGCCCGGCGCCCGCGGCCCGCAGCGCCGTCGCGCCGAACACCGCGCTCCTAACACCGTCCGCGACTGTGACTCTGCCCGGATTACAGTGATACTACCAGTGCATCACAGGATTCAGTTTCAGTGATTCTCGCGGCGAAAGTAGAAACCGGGTCGCCGATAAGCGTTGTGCAAGTTGTTGCGCGCGGAACTCGCGCGCGGCCTCGCACTCTCCCGCAGGAAGCGTGTCGCAAGCGGGGAAGTGGCGCAAGCGCCGGGAAGCCGCCGCGCGCGCTCCACAACACACATACCCTGGATTGCCCCGGCAACACTGGATTCTCTTCTAACATAGTCCCTTGGTAAGATACTTCGCCGTATACTTGTTGTTAGGGTATCATTGTGTGAATTAGAAAGTGACAATCCGCAGGGAAAAGCTGTAATTAAAGTTCGATAGAGCATACTGCTCCATCCCGCGCATTCTGTTCTAAACGTTCGGAGATATTAGTGAAGGGGACTGGTGTCACCAACACATTCAAAGCGCACAATTGGCGTCACCGACGACTGAACTTCGGCTCGGGTGTCGGAAACGCTACAAATAAAGAAGTGAAATATCCAAGGACAATACAACTTTCAAGTGATTTCGCGCGCGGCCGACAATAAAAACTTCGTAACGCGCCTGCGCAACCTCTCGGTCTCACTTTCGACGTCTGCGCCGAGCCTCGCTCGACGAGCCGCGCTTTCAATAACTATTACAAAACCTCCGCCATGTCGAATTTTCTTTCGAAAGTTATCGCCGCTAGAAATTTGATTTGTGAAGTAATGAACGTTTCGACAGTGGTTGGCTCGGGTGATGCTGGAAATGTGAAAAGTGCTGCGACCACATGTGCCAGAGGTAAACCTTGGAGTCTCCGTGACCACAACTGAGTCATTGAGTAGGAGCTATTACAAACAGCACGCTCCGAGCAACTGCCATCATTAAGGAGAACTGAAAGGAACACGGTCCAAGGCCAGTTGGATAACGAATTTTCGTTTAATATTAATAAATGGCAAGCACGGCCGATCGTGACGGATCCAATGGTGCATGCGGACGCATAGAATCACTTTGACCGAAGCACTTTCACGCAAACAATCGCCTGGATCACAACAACCGAACCAAATCGGAATAATAAAACTTCACGATATGGATGATATAATCGTCCATAATTGATGAAATTCATTTCACGGAGTTATTTTTGTTGCCAAGTTGTTGAAACTAATTCTTGATATCGTTGTAAGAAATGTAGCAATTTGCCTTTTCCATTTCTTAAACACAGTTCCACTTATTATTGAAACACATCACAGGAACATAGATGAAACATAGATAGAAGAAGAAATCTACGAAAGTTAAAATCATCTTGGTCTTATATAAAATATGGGCATTGGCCGCAGATATTTGTAATCCATTCTTAAAGATCTGCTAATCTTTCAATGCAACGATAAGAAATGAGTTATGCAATTCACGCGTGCAATAACTGCTTAAACACTTTCGTTTTCAAATGCGAACATTCGTGGGCGTTCTAAATGTCAGGATTAAGATTTATGATAAACATCGTGATTAGCTAGTGACAAAAGTACAATGAACATAGTAAGAACTTTCACTCAGTGAAATGGCGACGCGAAAGTAAGGCTGTTCAACGGGTGATTTCATCCCGATTTCACAAACAAATGTAAAGAAATTAAGTCGAAATTTGATAATGGTCTTTTCAATCGTGATGATTCGGAACACAATAAGTGAGCGTTCGCTTGAGGTTAGATGAATTATAAACTGGGACACACGAATTCAAGTTTCAAGTTCTATGGATTCTTAAAGGTTGTAGAAAGATTTTTTGTAAGTGTAAGTTTACTATCAGGAAATGGCACTACAATTACAGTTCGCTTCCGAGTTTTTTTACAATGAATCATAAAGATGGCTGGTGACGAAATGTGTGATAATAAATTTGCTAGACCGTATCATGGAAATAGACTTTTAAACTACCTATATTGTGAGAATTTATTTAGTTATCACAAGTAACATGTAAAAACTCATATACCTACATGCACATGAAACAGTCAATAAATTAATACTATATCAAATATTTACCAAATACGAGTGTGAACGTATTTTTGTTAAAGAAACTGAGTGTTCGATTGTTGATATTTTACACTAATGACTGTATTTTAGTAGAACATAGATATTTCGTAAAACCGTGAACAGACCATTGTTTTGCAACGCATATGAAAAGGCCTGTTACAAATACTATGATAAATGAATAGTTCTGCACAACGGCAGTTCACTATTAATTTATCAATAGATTCATTTATAAAATATCACTTTTGTATGATATCATGTTTCCGTGTTTAATTAATTCAATGGCAATAAATATGTAGTAAATGTTCACATCGAAATAAACAATAGAATTGTGCACGGCCCAACCGATGTGGGAGCCTCTTACTTTGTTACAAAATAAAGTCTCAATAACAAAAATTAATTCAGAAACCAAAACATAGAGCAATTAAAGTAATTCTCACAGTAGCTGATGACGACTTTACGTAATTTGTGTCTTTGAAGAAATTCAGTGTGTTATCCAATCTGTTTAGACAATGATAGTGAGGAAATGAAAGTGGAAAGCTGTTACGAGATCGGAACGAGCCGTTTATAGTCGCATTAACGCAAACTTTATACGCGATCATTGGACGGTACTGGGTGATCCACATACAAATCTACATATTCATCGATATGTTAATAATGAAACGAAAAAAATGATAATAAAAACAAAGCCAGTACTTTTTGCCTCACGTAACCTTTATTCCACAGATTAATTATTCAAAGATCAAACATTTTATATGTAAATATTGCAAGGACATCCGTTTTGCTAAAATATGTCACAAGCACAAGTAACTACTACGGAAAGATGATATAAAAATTGGAGCCGATTTTTTCTTATTGATTTTATGAGGAATAAAATTACAATTTAATACAATTCTTTTTGCAAACATTTTTATATTTTAAATGAACAGTAGTGCAAAACTGTGCCTGAATACATGAATTATTGTTCTTTCGCCCGGTAACATCTTTATTTGCTCAAAACAAATGTGTTTCATTAAAACCATTTGCGAACTCTCTAACGACCTACTTACTCGCATTATCTCCAGCGACTTCAGCTAGTGTAATTACGCCACGGTTTTCATTTCTCAGTGACCACCCACGCTAAATACGTGTCAAATTGCTAATAGCATTATCAACTTTCATTGCATCATCGTCATCATCGGTTGTAATTATAGTGTTTGTCCAGGCGACCACCGCTTGGTATAACAATAAAGCTATCTGCTACACACATTAACTTACAAATGTAATAGTGGTCTCAGACCTGTTGTTGACTTGGCTCTGTAGCCCATCCCTAGAATATAAACATACAATATGGAAGCATCGCTTTATCTGTTGGTACCGTCAAGTAGGTAACAGCGGCGTAGGCGATGGCGGTACACATTGCAACGTGCCGATTCATATCCAAGGTCTTTCCTAGTTCCTAAGAGAACGGAGTTTCCTGCGGCCGCCTATCTCTCGCGCACACCGACATTCGCACGTGAACGCACACGCGCCCACGTGTCGCTATTCTTTGTGTTCAATCTTTCCTAGCTACCGTTGCGAGGCATCTTCTTTTTGTGCCGTCCGGTGGCGTTTGAAGTTTGAGCCTCTGAGCGGTTCATTATATAGGCGACGTGCGATGCGCGCGCTTCGCAGTTAGTATGTCAGTGGAGCCCGCGCGAGAGGTGGCCTGCAAGGACTGTACCGCGCCAACCTTTTTTTCTGTGCGTGCGATGTTTTCACTTTCGTCATTTTGACCAGGCCAGTTTGATTTGACGTCGCTCGCGCACGGACGTGCCTGGGTTCCGGCGTTGTGATATCCTGTGATCGCTGGTGCTTCGGATTGTTTTTGTTTATGAAAATTATTTTGTGAAAATTATGGCTGTGATAAAGTGTTAATATGTTTGATAGTAACATTCTTTTTAATTTCTACAATGAGATTGCTAATAGAAGTGCACTACAGTTGGCAAGGTAAGGTTGTTTTGTTTGTTTACCTTAAATTTAGTAGGTATGTGGGGATGCGCATGTAGGTGTGGGCGGCGGGTAGGTAGTCACAGTGTTCACAGTCCGCTGGGACGGTCGGCACAACCTTGGCTCTAATGAACGCACTATTCGCCGCTTCATCCGCCTCTCGCCTTCGCCTGAGCCTCGCTCGGCGAAGAGGTTAATAGGTTCACATTAGATGGTGGTTTGCGAAATCGACTGAGCTCAGCGTATGACTGCGCCCGCGCCGCTTTTCCACGGTTACATTCGCGCGCATTCGACACGCTGAATTAGTTAATAAATAAATACTACATTACGATCATAGTCACTTACGATACCTACCAGTATATAAAAATATAAAAATACATTAAAATATATAACTTAAAAATAGCACAGTTTACTAATAACACTACTTACTTTAATAACAATATCGAAGTTATTCTAATTAAATATTTACCAATTTATGATGTTACAATTATCATTTAAAATATTAGTACTGTTCCCCCACTACATTTTGGTAACTCGTCATTTTGGTTAACTGAAACTCGTTAATGAACACCAATTAATTACCTGTTTAACCGCGAATTTCACTTTTGATTGCTCGAGCATTAAATCGATTTCGGAACTGATAAATACTTGTTTCGCAATAGTAAAAGTCGATTCATTGCTTTTGGCACGTAATTACCGAATATCTTCTCTTTAATCGATTATTGTTTTAAGTATTGCATCGGTGAGAATAACATCTTTATTTACACGTTCGAGATAAAATTCGTGGATGTAAACCTTGTAGAATGTAAAGCTAGCCTTATTAAATAATTTAAGTTTCAATTAATCGATGTTATCACACATTAATTACCTATCCAAGGCTTCGAAATAATCTCATAGATAATGAATGGTATTGACTAATATTGTTTTGATATTATAAGATTGACCAACATTTGTACGTCCACTTCCTTAATCAAATACCTACCAATTTTGAAGAATAATATTAATCGTTCCTGGAAATTATGTTTTTATATAAACAGTATAAAGTATCATGTTTTTTTCATAAATTATTTGATATAGAATTGATAATAAGATTTGGTTTATGTAAATAACAAAACATCGTGTTGAAAACAATAATTTTAATAAATGACGCATGAAAATGTATACGCGTAAATATTTTTGACTCATACTGTTTAATAAAACCTACGATTCCCAATACGTGAGATATCTACAATAAAATAAGTATAATTAAAATACCTATTTGTAATAGGTACTATAATAATACTTTGAATACAAAGGAACCGAATGATTCTGAAAACTTACACAAATCAGCAGACAGCATGCCACTGCGCAGTTAAAAAAACATGTAGTGATAAACGATTTGACCGTACCAAACAAAATAAGGCAAATATTGGGCGAGTCTTGTTTACTCTCGCCACAAATAAAGCCGAAAACCGCAATAGACAAATCACGTGGAAAAATTAAAAAAAAACCTCCAATATTTCCAAAGGAAACGTATAAAAATTAAAAATGGTGTTAAGTTGGTTATCAGAATAAACAAACATCGAAAATCCAATTTGAGGTTAAGGGCAATTAAAATTCCATATTTTATTGCCGACAAATCTATTCTTGACATTTATACCAAAACTGATGAGGACAAATTTGTTGTGAACGAAAATTACGCAATGAGAATTGATACTGATGCTGGGAGAGAGAATTGTGTCAATGAAGCAGAAGTGTCGGCAGTTGGCACGAGTAAACAATTAAAGGGCGAGCAACGAATGATCGCCCAATGCCATTTTTCTATTTGACTTAACAAATATCACGCGTATTTTTAGTGTTCCGTAATCGAACAGAAATAACCGGGATGATAGCATTGGATTAATCAAAGCTACAAAACCAATTGTACAAGGAACCATCATATTATTCTATGTTCCACAGATTAACTCGATAATCTGGGAAAATTACGTTATAATGATAAGCATGAAATACATATTTTTTAAATAATCATCTCGATAGCTTGGCAAATTAAATATGTCCTAAAAATAAAACATCAGCCAAAATTGTTTTACCATATTAATTTTATTAACTATTGAATTCTAAGATTAACCGCTGTTTTATAATCAAAATTCAAAAGTGTCTGCTTTGAAATAGAGGTTACATCAAATGGTTTTAGCTTCCATTCAGATATGTTTTAAGATAATAGTTCCTTGAACTTTTATAAAATATATATTCAATATACATATTTTACTAAAGATGAAAAATTTGTCATCACACAAAGTTTCGTCCGTATAAGTTTCGTTGATTGGAATTATCAACGAAACTTATATTTATATATGTTATGGAAACCTTTACGACTTGATTAACTGTACAAGTAAGATTTAAAATATGTCCACGGCCTTCGTATTGTCTGATTAACACGATGGTCACTTTGATAAATTCGATAAGATTTTTGATCAGTAATACCTTACAATGATAAACTTAACCATAATCGTCAGCTGCTGTATGTCGGACTATAGTTCCTAGTAGCAAATCGCCTTCTAATAAGTCATGTCCTAAAGGTTTATCGATTACTATTAGATTACTAATAAGATTTGTATCTTTTTTATTATTTTCTCCAATTAGAGTTTACTTCCTTATAAACTACAGATTAATAATATTTTTTATCGTTTTATTAAAGATTATTTAATAGATTAAATTTTGAGGTCATTCGAAATTGTGTTTGTTTAAGTTGCACGTGTAAACGTTGCACCAATGAGAGCTCATCATTCAAGTTCAGAACCATTGTTTTCATTGCGTACATATTTATTTGAAGATGAAAGATCCGATTATAGTTGTATTGCCAAAATTTTGCTTTGTATAATTTTTTCTGCAAATATCAAATCGTACGCGACGAAAAGCGCATTCAATTTGTACAATGTTCAATTACGCACATTTGTATCGTTATACCAAATGGTACACAATCAAATAATTAGTTTCGCATTGTCAAACACAACATTAATTATACGATAATATTTATTTTACGCAATATCAATTGTACCTAACCTCCGTGTGGAACAATCCACACAGTTATCGTCTACACGTGGTTTAGAACTAGATCTTTTCCCGTCAATAGTTTGCATAAACTAATTATGAACACGTCCAAGGGCCTCTATTTGTTCAGTAGTAATCTATTCGTTACTAATAACTGTAATATAACCACAAATGTAACTGTTGTAATTAGGTCACGCTATGATTCGATTGTAACTCCTATTTCCTGGAAATATGGCGCGGCTACTATGAATTTATCACGACTGTGGTACGAATGTTGCATAGCAATAGGAAAAATCTTGAATCTAATTAATATTACCATCTGTAATTGACTAGAATAATGACAGACGTAGGAAGTATAGAAAATAAGGTATCGTAAATGGTTTGAATAATAGCGGACGTAGATTGGCAAAAACAACTTACAGAACGTTTTGTGTGAAAATATGAATTTTCAATGGAGTCGTAATTAGTAAAATGCATCGTTTGTTGCAGGCTTTGTGCACGTATTTAACGTTTCGCGAAACTAGGTTTACAACGTAGAAACGCAAACATTTCTAAAATCCCAAATGCGAGTGCTGTGCTCGATGCTATTTCGCAATCGGCATTTAGGTACTCCTTGCTAAGTCGACATAAACATTTTCTGAGAAACTTCAAATATATTCGACAGGTCGGTCGGAACCGCTCTGGTTGTCCGTCCAAACACAAAATGTCTCAACTTCTTTATCGTTTAATAGAATTTCTTCATAGTTCTGCGTACCATTTGACATTGAACTGAATTAAAAAGCGTTATCAGAGGGCTCGATATGTTCGTTAGTGTGTGCCAGTTGTGAAATACTTGTAACATTTGGACAGTAGTTGTACTGAGGCTCATTAACATCTTTTAGTTTTGTGTTTAATTGCTATTTAATTGAATTTTAATGTATCTCTATTATCCGAATATTGTCCGTCACTGTCATTTTCACGCATTCGTTTAAGACATTGTTTAATAGTATTAATTTAAAAAACCGTCACATAAAATTTTAAGTTTCTTTTTCTATCACAAAGATGTTTTAGAGTACTCAAAGTCGTTAGACTTAAAGTATTTTAGATCCTTTGTAACGTTTCCACGTTCAATTCAAGGCCATAAATGACGCTATTTGAAATTATTATAAAAATAAGCATAACAACAACGGAGCGGCAGATATGGTAGTTCAAAGAGATGTATTGTGTTAGGACAATAAAATTCGGAATGGTCGTCGGCAAATCACTCCCAGCCCTTTCTTGTTCCCGTTCACGGTACAAATTACCGAAGGACGTTGGAACTGGGTCACTTCGGAAATAGTTTATTGTTATCGGCTAGTCTGCGCACACGCAATGCTCACACGCACGCCCGAGCGCGTTCGATTTTCAAACGTTTACGCACACGAACGAGCCCCCGACTCAATTAGGGTTCATCCTTTATAACTCTCGGAAGTCCTTGTACTAGTTTGCCTTCGGAATCTTCAATATCATCATCGTTACGTCTATGGGTGTGGTTTCAAACGGCTTCCGCTTTCGTATCAAATCGAAAACATACTTTCTTAAGGCCGACGGGTCAATAAAATTGAAAAGGTGTCGGATTTATATTTTCATAATATAATGACATTACGAGACTTAAGGCCAGAGTGTTTTGGTCTATTAGTTTTATTACGCAGTTACCCTTGCGTTGAATATTTAATATTTATAGTCTAACGCTTTCGACAGACCCTTGCTAGCGCGCGTTCTTCGTGTGTACAGTATGATGTATCTACTTTATCCAAGGTTCTTCGTTTATTATTTCGTATTGAGTGATGCACCTCGACATGCATTACTCTGACTACTTTATAGTCCTACAAGTACATCCAATGCATCAATTTATTAATAACCTTTAGAACCTTGACCACACCAATAAATTAATTATATTCGCTTGTCAGTCAGCAATAAAAATTCTCATCTAGGCATAAATTGTGATTGTT